ATGATCTCCCAAAATCTGGTTTGAAAGATTAAGCTTGCATTATTTTGAAAAATGTTAACGATGTCATGATCCTTACTTGTTAGTTGAGCAATTCAAACATCTCAAATGGCATATATCAGAAAAAAATCCAAGAAATAAAAGTTTTTTTAGTTCAAGTAAAGACTAATCATATTACTCCTAAACTATGCTTATCAGATAAACTGAAACGATAAAGGAGCAGCATATTGTTTTCACCAACAACTGAGCCATTTTGATTAAAGATCTATAGTGAATCGTGGTTTGGGAAGATACACTCCCTAACTTCAATTAACTTTATGAAAGTGATTGAATTGCCATTTTTTAAAGATTTGCTATCCAAAGTCGATGAACTTAATGTATCCCATTTCATGGACGGAACAATCCGAAAAAATATGGGAAGAAAATAATAAAAACGAATTTAAGCTGGATGATGTTAGGAAATAGCAAAGCAAAGCCCTCAATTTGTACATTTTCTCAAAAGAAAATTTGCAAAAGAAATTTTTACTCACTTCATTCTGGCTTGAAATTGTTGATCCGGCGTCATCGTCTTGGGCTGACGTGGAGTTCGGTTGTGTTGAAGTGGACGTGACCAGTTGAACAAGTTGAACTGCACCGCTGTTATTCGCGCTCGGTCGCCTGAAAAGAAAAAAAAACCAAAAGTATCACCTGTCACAGGTAAAAATCGACGCAAATTCGCAGCACTTACGTTGCTATAACTGTAGTTTTCGCATTAACGACGTTAGCTGCAGGACTCGTTACCGGGCTACTGGTGTTTGTTGAAGACGACGACGCCGCTATGCGCCCAGCAGCAACGCTGTTGTACGGAATACCAGGCGGAGGTGGTGGCGGCGTGGCTTGGTTCACTCCAGTTAGCGACCCTAGTGGAGTCGCTTCAACGGATCCATCTCTGGAATAGTATGGCTGAAGAAGGAAATAATATGAGAGCTGATTTTTTCTTTTTGAAGTAAAGTGCAATCTTTTCATTGTAAAAATTATTCTCGTGTGTAAGGCATCGGCCAGACTTCGCTAAAAGCGGCCAAAAGCGCCCAGGTGCTCAATTTTCTTAAATGGCATTGTCCAGGTCAACTTGGGGGTATTGGGATCTTGAC